TGTAAAATTGTCATGAGATTTTACAACATGAATGATGATCTAACCTCTTTAAAAACATTTTGGAATTTTGCCATTAAACTAGCAATGAGGAGGTTTGGGTGAGACAGATGTTTTAAATTTTACTTGTTTTAAAGTTGAGAGACATGAGGAAAACTGATTATAGCAGTGTGCGATTTGTTACTTGGGTAGCAATATTAAAGTAAGTTTATCCTGATTTTTTTTTTTCTGGGGAAATTAGCGTAACACTTTGAAATGTATTTTGAGATATTTGGAGTAGAAAAAGAATTTCTTTGGAAATGTATTCTGTTGCTTGCTAATAGTGGTCTGGTTGTTAGCCTGTTAGGTATTAGGCGATAAAGAGGTTTCAATAAAAAATTCATTCACTGTATAATGCTTTGAGATGGAGGGGAAATAGCTTTTAAAATATCTGTTCCCGTTCATATTTTTAAAATACTTTATAGTATCAAAAGTCCACGTTGAGTAGCCGAGTCCATCACTTAGCACCGCAATTGAAGCATACATCCTTTGAACCACTTTACAAGCAGACATGGCTTAAGTGTCTATGTATAATGCTCTTTTAGAAGATCAATATAGTTTTGCAAAAAATACTTACTATTATCATTTTGATTGATATAACCAATGGTAAGATGGTCAACTTAAAGTCTATGTTGCACGGATACTCCTATTTACGAGGTGTGCTGTATCGGACACGTGTCGGATACGGATACGCCTTCGATATGGCACGAATACGTGTCGAATACGACTATGCCGTGTCCGATTAAAATATTATTTAAATTTGACTGGACACGCGTATCCGATACGCGTGTCCTATTTAAAAAAAAACTCGGAGCCACGATTTACCCTATTCTTTTCGATTTTCCACCGTTTTTGCTCAATATCCATATTCATTTATGCGGCTGAAACATTTCAAAGAGCTAGGTTTTTCGTTTCCACACAAGTGTTCATCTTCTTATTCGTTATAGTTGAAGGAGCGGCTCGATGACACGAGCATAGAAGCAAATAGGATCATCCTTTGTCGATAAAGAGGCTTGACGACGCGAGCATTAAAGTCGATAGGATCAACCTTCGTCGACGAAGCGGCTCGACAACACGAATAGTGAAGGCGACGTGAGCAATGAAGGTTCGTTTTCTTCGTCGTTCTTCGTTTTCTTAATCATAGGCTTGGTATCGAAACTTGGTACCGCTTGGTACCGAACGTTACTGGAACTCAGTATTGCTCGATACCGAGCAATATTGAAACTTAGTACCGCTTGGTATTGGAACTCGGTACCGCTCGGTATTGGAACTCGGTATTACTTGGTACTACTCGGTACTGAGCGGTATTGGAACTCAATACTACTCGGTATTGGAACTCGGTATTGCTCGGTACTACTTGGTACCGAGCGGTATTGGAACTCAGTACTGCTCGGTATTGGAACTCGGTACCGCTCGGTATTGGAACTCGGTATTGCTTGGTACTACTCGGTATCGAGTGGTATTGGAACTTAGTATTGCTCGATATTGAAACTCGGTACCGCTCGGTATTGGAACTCGGTATTGCTCGGTACTACTCGGTACCGAGCTGTATTGGAACTCAGTACTGCTCGGTATTGGAACTCGGTACTGCTCGGTATTGTAACTCGGTATCGCTCGGTACTGTAACTCGGTATTACTCGGTACCGCTCGGTATTGCTCAGTATAGAGGGGTACCGAATGGTACCAAGTGGCACCGAGAAGCTAAAACATGCTCGGTATCGCTCGGTATCTTTTCATAAAAAATAACTTTAAAAATAAATAGCACTTCAAAATTACTCTTACAAAAAAAAATTGTTTCGGGGGCGCTGCCCCCCTAAAACCCCCACAGGGGCACTGCCCCTTGACCCCGCGATACTGAGTTCGAACCCCGCCAGGGGGCAGCGCCTCCTTGGATCCCCGGCAGAGTCGCAACATATCTACACTTTTACTTAAATTTTTTTATGTTTCAAATTCACATGTTTTAATTTGTATAGATTATTTGTAGGATAATGAGCTCTAGTGGAGTAGGAATTTGTTCTGATGACGGTCCATCAGAAATTAATATTGAAGATAGCAAACCTTTATGGGGTTATGTTACAAAAATAAGTAAAATATCGGAAGGGGAAGGCAATATTGCATTCAAATGCAATTTTTGTAATGCAACATACAAATGATCATATTATAGAGTGAAAGCTCATTTGTTGAAGATTAGTGGTCATGGAATCAAAGTTTGCCCGAAGATAAGCTCATCACAAATGGCTGAATTACAAAGAAAAATCAGTGAAGTTGAGCAAAGTAGTAAAAAAGAGCTTCCAAAACATATTTCACTTCCAAGCACTCATGCAATTGCAATTAGAAATTTTATTATGAATCACTCCATGAAACTCTCTATGTTCAATGATTTCTGTAATGATGCTTGCAGTTGCTGAAACTCGGTTTGCCTCAGTAATATAGCGATGTTGAGAAGATTCAAAAAAATAAAAAATGCTCTTCAAGCTATGGTAATCAGTGACAAATGGTCATGTTATAGGGAAAATGTTGGAAAGGCTAGGTATGTAAAAGAGAAGCTTTTAGATGATTTATGGTGGGATGAGATTGAATACATTATAAATTTCACAGACCAAATTTATGAGATGTTAAGAGTAGCTGATACAGATAAGTCTTGTTTACATCTCATTTATGAGATGTGGGATTCAATGATAGCCAAAGTAAAAGAAATTATATATAGACATGAGAGGAAGACACTTCATAAAGACTCAAGCTTTTGGGTTGTTATTTATGCTATTCTAGAAGATATGTGGAGCAAAAGTAATACACCTTTATATTGCTTGACTCACTCACTAAATCCAAGGTAAATTTCAACATTTTTTCATTATGAATTCACAATTTGTTGTTTTGTAATTTCAACATTTTTTCATTATTTCATTTTAATGTTATTTGAAGATATTCAACTAAAGAATGACTTCAAGAGGGCTCTCAAAGAGTTTCTCTACAGAAAGATTTAGAAATTTCAAATATGAGGAAGACATATTTGAAGCATTATTTTTCAAATAAGGAGGAGAGAAGAAGTGTCAATATTGAGCTTGCTAAATTTTTTGGTTATTTAGAGGACTTTGGTGACCAAGAGTCACTGCGTGATAGGTGGAGAATATCCGAAAATGTGGTGGATTATACATGGAGCTTCAACACCTCTACTTCAAACAATCGCCATAAAATTGCTTGGCCAAGTTTCATCCTCATCCTGTTGTGAAAGAAATTGGAGCACATACTCATTCATCCAATCAATGAAGAGAAATAAAATTACTCCACAACGGGCTGAAGATTTAGTTTACGTGCATACAAACCTTCGACTTCTCTCAAGGAAAACTCCAACTTATATGGAAGGAGACAACAGGATGTGGGATGTTGCTGGAGATGGATTTGAATCTCTTGAGGATATGGGAATATTAGAAATTGCTAATCTTTCTCTTGATGAGCCTGAATTAGAAGCTATGATATTTATTGAAGATGATATAGAAACTCAAAAACAAACCACTGAAGAAGCTAATCCTATCATTCCTTCTATTGAATAGTTGAAATTTCATGTGCTGGGCAATTTATCTTCTTGTTTTTGTTGTTGTACTAGACATTTCAATATTTAATGCTTACTTTTATTTCAATTTTTTTGTCATTTCAAATATTACACTTTGATTACTTTATTAATTTTTATGTATTATTTATATATTATAATGCCGTATCCGCGCCGTATCCGTATCTTGTATTTTTAAGAATTGGCATGTCCCGTATCCGTATCGTGTCGTATCCATATCGCCGTATCCGTATCGGTGCAACATAGCTTAAAGTAAACCCAATATTATAAAATATATTTTTAACTGAGAAAAGTTTGAAATGATTCTTTGAGAAATTAAGTGAGATTTAAGAATGCTATTTTCGTGGAAGAGTGAAATGAGAGGATAATTACTGACTATATTGGATTAATCTGAAAACATAAAGTCAACTTAGCTTTGAGGAAATGCATAAAGGTAAAGCTCTATGAAAATGCAATTTACCATTGAGATGAAGAAGTTATGGGATGAATTGGAGTTATATGGTTTATAACTTATTTTAGAGCTCATTTTGTTCCTTGGACTTACTAAAAAAACAATGTTAAAAGTTGGTGAATTTTGTTAGATCCATTTGCTTGGATGTATTATAAATCAACATTGATTTTAGACTATATATTCCATCAAATCCTACTCAAACGTAATTATTTCATTTTCATGTACAAAATAAATGAAAAAAATGAAATCGTCAAATTTCAATTTTCAAATATTGTTTTCTATCTGCAATCAACTAAATGATCCATTAGCAGAATCTCACCAATTAAGAGCAGGCTGAATGATAGGAGAAGGAGCATTCGGGTACTGATTGTTTGAATTACATGGGAAGTTTAGAACTGTGGTAGCTACATAAAATTTAAGTTTTTGATGATACATAAACTATTCATGAATGAGAGTGATAAAACAATGATTTTGGAGAATTATATTGATTTAGAGAATTTTTTTGAGATCAACAATAGAGGCTATTTTTGTGTCAAGGTAAATGATTTTTACATTTTATTTTTGACTTTGAAAAGACTCATGACTGATATGGGAATTAGTTTTGTTGGCATTGATTAGAAAATGTGTTTGTTTAATTTGCATTGTACTGTTTCAAAAAGTTTTTAGTGCATATAATTACATTATAAACTTTTTCATAGGCAATAGATTAGTTTGTTTTTGCATGCAGAAACTGGATACAAAAGATAAATTTGCATGGTTGACCTATGAAAACTGTATTGATTTTGGATAGCGGAAAATCCAAATAATATTTTTACTGCATGTTCTTAGTAGTAGCAGTTTTTTTTTTTCTATGGTTACATTTCTCATAAATTTGTGTTTGCCAATTTCAGAAAATTTTCTAGTTAAAGAATTCTGTAAAATTTATGTTGATCTAAAAAGGTCTTATTTCCATTATTACAGGTGGGTAACAATCTCTGTTTCTACTTTGGCCCTCAGGGCATCCCTACTTCCAGTACTTATTTTGCAGCTCAAGAAGATGGCAAAATTTGGGGCATTGTTACCCAGATGTAAGCAATCATGTCTAGCAGCATAACAAGCTATGTTGTCAATTTGGTTCATTTTGATTTGTTTTATTTTTTATAGGGGTAGTCAATGGTATCATTTTTCTTTAAAATGAAAGCCATCTATGTTTTCTTGGATTTTGTTTTTTGGAAGGCAAGCTTTACTTTTACATGCCCTTCATAGGAGACCTTGGCTCCATGAACATGGCTTTGTGCCTTAACTCTTCACTCGTGCATGAAGTACAATCTAAGAGATGAAGAGCACTGGATCGAGAATGGCATACCACCATTCTCCGTTAATGAGTTTGGGCTTTATAATCATGTCAAATTGTAAATTGCAAAAGAACTTCAACCTTTCGGCTCATCAAAGAAGTCTAAGCTCTTGCCTTGGCACAAACTAAACTTGCCATGTCATGACCCGACCCCGAGGCTTGGAATACTGAGGCGAGAATATACAATTAGATGGAGATTTTAAATTTCATTCATTCACATTAACTAATAACAAATTTCTTCCAATATATCGAAAGAGCTACTAAAATCATAAAATTTAATTTAAACCGAAAGTATAACAATGCCAAAGTAGATAGCTCTATCTTGTAGATCCGCATCTTTGATACGCATTTTTTTTTTTAACTCATTTAATTCTCAAGCTTTTACTAGTATACATTATTTAAATAATGGGAGCCAGTCATAATGCAACTCAATGGATACGTTATATTTCAAAATTACAATAACATAACGCAACATTGAAATGATATGCATGCTTATCTTAAAACCAAATAATATAAAATTATTTGATAGATAGTTCTATTTAAGTATGATATTCTAAGAGATTTTGAAATATTCTTTAGTAAGATAATTCCATAGGTAAAAACTATATAGTATCTTATCTTTTTTATATTTGTAATAATACAACCGTCTTATGTATCATTGTCTAAATTATGCCATTTAAGGTACTTCATTTTTCATTTCCTTTTTTCAAATGTTTTCTAATTTACTCATTTGAATATTTTATTTTTGTCAGTGCTATTAGGAGGTGAAAACCATCAGTAAAATATGCACATGCATCATTCTTATATAAGTCATTTCATTTATATTTTTCATAATATTCCATAGCTCTTACAGTAACATTAAATGACTTGATAAACAATTAAATGCTAATAGAAATTGTCATTCATTTTGACCAATAATTTTCATAACATAGATAAATCATAACTGAATTTTCAATAACAGTTGATTAAATGAATATCCATAATGATCGATGCATTTGATTTAGAAGAAGTAACATTAATAATATAATTTAGAAATAAGTGTACCCAAATTAACCTTTGATTTGTATTGTCACCTCAATCTTTAACTTGAGTTTATCTCGTTGGATATCTATAATCATACATACTAGAAAAATTTAAAATAGTTACTCTTATTCAAAGTATATTTATATATATACTTTTTGCTAAAATTGTTATCATTAATTAACAATCCTTTTTCCTTCATTCATGTTTATAAATTTATAGTGAATTAATCTTTACCCTATCTAAGCATATACTTGCAACCAATGTTTTCAAATAATTAACACATCTCACAACTAGATTACCAACCTTTTTTTTTGTTTTATTCAATTATTATTTAAATTCTCTTGATTTAGCTCTTTATCTATAATCGTAATAGAGAAAAGGGCTAAAATAGTCCCTTGACTTTTTATGAAGGACCTATATTAAAGTATCATTTTGGTCCCTCCTATCTTCCAAAAAGAATCAAAAGTAGTCCCATGGTACTATTTTAGTTCTTTTTAATGAGTTGAAGGACCAAAATAGTCATTTAATATGGTTGGAGACTGTTAGACCGGTGGACCGGTCCAGCCGGTCCACGCGGGATTGGACCAGACACGAAACGGCGGAATTGGGAGAAGGCCGCGCGAGCCGCGCGCCTTGCGGGACGATTTTAGGAAGGAATTTTGAGGAAGTTTAGGAGGGAAATTGATTGTAGGGACTGTTTAGGGAATTCCTTTTGAATTGTATACATTAAATAGTTGATTTTTCTAGGGTTTGGGTATCTTGAATTTGGCTGAAATTTGAGATCTCTTAGATTTAGGTTTTCTTTGGGCTCTAGCGGCGTGATGTGAAACATACATGCAAAGATGAATTACTTAAAGGAATTTGCACACTTAATATTCGTAGAACAAATAATTATATCTTTATAATAATTTGAACGACGAGATAAAACATTAAGAACGGAAAACGAGCTTACGGTTGAATCACACGGGTAAGAGTTAAGATCATATAACAATCAAGTCAATCTAACGTTGCGCACATGAATGGTTTTCCACAAATATCCCTAGACTAACAATGAGATTAATCACTAGGAGTGTCCACTCACTCAACTCTCTAATTCACTAGGCTTTAGCGGATAAATGATTAGCATGATTTCCATGTATCAAGATATCACCACAATAGAGAAGTAGAGTAGGAAGATAAGAGAATGGGATGAAGAGTTTACCCAAAGAAAGAAGTTCTACGAAGCTCTGGTGGTAGTCTGTAGGTTTGAGAGGAAGTAGACGACAACGGGCGGCTTCTTGGGCTGCGGGACAGCAACAAATCCTTGCTGTAGTCTTTGGACAGCAAGCAGGTGGCCTGGAGCAGATTTCGGACAGCAGCTTTTGGTTCTCAAGGATGCTGGACAGCAGTTTTCTTTACTCCAAAATTCTGGACAGCAAATTACACCAACTTGAAATGCTAGACAGCAACTGAACAGCAGCTTGTAAGGCTAGGAACCCTTTGGACGGAGCACAGGACCTGCCCAGAAACCTGAGCAAAAGCTTGGCGGGGGAAAATCTCAGATTTCCAAGGATTCTTACTGTAAATGGCAGCAGGAATGACCTTGGGATTCACATTAATTCTAAGGCTAGAAGAGGGGGATTAATTTCAAAACTTAAATTGATTTCAGATTTTGAATACTTTTGGAGGGAGTTAATTTGAAATTTGATTTCAAATTAATGGATGATTAATGCATTGATTGAAGTGTTAATGAATCCTTATTCGGAGCCATGATTTAAGCTCCTAATTAAGGGGAAAAGTAATGGGCGGATGGCCATAGAGAGAGAGAGTGGAGGTTATGAAATTTGAAATCCCAATCAATGGCAATTAATACATTGAATTAGCATTAATTGGATTCCACCCATGCATGGCCGGCGGCATCAAGGAGAGGGAGGGGATTGTGGAGGGAATTTAGGGAATTTCCCAAGGAGGAAAAAGGAATTAGGAAGTCTGTTAGTAAATCCAATCTATTTTGAAATTAGATTGGGATCATGCATAATACCTTCCTAATTAGGAAATCCAAAATTGGAAAGAATTCAAAATTCAAAATTTGAATTTCAAATTTGAATTATTTCGCCCCTAATTTCTTGTGGATGATGGGAACTCGGGTAGGGCTTGGCGTGGGGAGGAGAAAAACGAGATTTGGAGAAGAAAACAATAAGATAAAAATAAACCACGAGTCAAGGACACTTCCAATGACTGGCGGGTATTGTTTTTGCCCTCACCTTGGGCTTTCTCTAGAACTCACACAGGAATACAAGCTTTTCTTTGAGTTTTCTCTCAGATTTCCTTGTGGTTTTGCTGTTTTTCTGCTGTGAACAGCAGATTTACTGCTGTTTGCTCTTCGTTTGGTGTTAGGATTGCTTGAGAACTCAAGTTTACCCTTAGGGTTACTTGCGAACTCAAGTATTTCCTATCAAATTGGTATCAGAGCGTCATTTTTGGGACCTTAGGCGGCTGAAATCCTGATTTTTCAGCGAGCTTTTGGCTTCCGGAAGTGATATTTTTGAGATCCGTTGGGAAGAAAGATGGCCGGAAAGAAGGTTGACATCTTGGAAGGCGAAGTCGGCCAATTGAAAGCCGATTTGGAGGGAAGATTCTGCAAATTTCAAAATCAAATCTCCTCCAACAATGAAAGGTTGGAGGGGAAGTTCACCGCGATGGAGGAAATGATGAAGAAATTACTTGAAATGAAGACCAATCCGGCGACATCGAAAGTAAGAGAGACCACCGATGGCCATGGCATGGGAGGAAATCCGAACCCTTTGCGGGGGAGGAGAAATTCGGAGGTGGAGATCCTAGAGGAGGAGAACGACATGCCCCCTCTGGAACCGCTTTCTAGAGAGGAGATGAGTAGGATAAGACCAACAGGAGGCTGATTTGGTCGGAAGAAGGGAAGACTTCAATCGCCGATGTGCTGAATTTGAAAGAATCCAGCGTTGAGGTGTTGATTTTGAAGGAGGAAGGAAAGAAATTCATCGCCGAGGTACTAAATTCGAAAGGATCAGCGTCGAGGGGCGGTTTTTGAAGAAAGGAGGAATTTCATCGCCGAGGTGCTGAATTCGAAAGAATTCAGCGTCGAGGGGCTGATTTTGAAGGAAGAAGGGAGGAACTTCATCGTCGAGGCGCTGAATTTGAAGGAATTCAGCATCGAGATGATGATTTTGAAGGAAGAAGGGGAGAGTATGAAGAGGGGTTCGAGTATAATCGTCGGAGGGATGATCGGGACACTTGGGGAGCTCTTCCTCTTCGAGGAATGGGAGGTTATGGAGGAGTCAGGGGAAATGGAGGAGATCCAAAGGTGAGGAAGCTGAAGATGCCCATCTTTGAGGGTGAGGATGGCCATGGGTGGATTTATAAATAAGGTGGAACGATATTTTGCTGTCAATGGGCTGACGGAGGAGGAGAAATTGACAGCGGCGGAAATGTGCTTAGAGGGAAAAGCCTTAGCCTGGTATCAGTGGCATGACAGACGGGAGCCTATCCGGAGCTGGCGGGAGTTCAAAGAATGCTTATTAAAGCGTTTTCGAGCAGATGAGGGAGGATACTTCTATGAACAATTCTTTGCCCTTACCCAGGAAGGCACGGTGGCAGATTACCGGGACAGGTTTGAGTATCTGGCTAGTAGGCTGGACCATATCTGTGAAAGCCATTTTTCCTTCCAGGTTCGTTCGGATGAAGTTTTTCCTTCCA